GAACACAATGGATAAAGAGTGTGTAGTACAAAAGATTATTGATAAGATAGTGTTTAGAGGTTGGTTTAGAAATAGCCGTAGGCCTCATATTATTAGATTAATATTATGTTAGGCTACTGTTTGTGTTTCGTGGTTTAGTTGTTGGGCTGGATCCTTGCGATCGCCGTGTATCTCCTTGTTTTTGGTATAATCAAATTTGTTTGTTCCAAAAATAGGAAATAAACTAAACTAAAAAAAAATAAAAGGGAAATAAATAGAAAAAAAGAAAGAAAACTAGTGATGAAATATAGGAATGATGGCTAAAGGGTGTTGAACTCATGCCCTCAAGGTCACAACATAAAATACTAGCCACTGGGCCACACGTTATGGCTTGTTAAATAACACAACCACAAATAAAAGAGTGAAACAAGGTACTGAATGGTTTGAAAAAAAATAAAACAAGCAAAAGGTATGGGACAAGAGGATTTGAACCCCAAACCTCTCGCTTCACACACAAACACACAAATATCAGCGTATAATCACAGAAGCGCAATGTCAATTCAAACATAAATCACTTTCAGCTAAATATATTATAAACTAAATTTTGAAAAATGAGATTTCGCGCCAGCCATACTTCGTCTTCAACCTCAAGACAACAACAATGGTGCAATTTTGGGTTTCTTCATTTCTCAACCAAATTGAAAAAAGTAAAAAAGCTAACTTGTTTGAAATTTCACAAGGAATCCAAATATGGGCATATCATAAATTTATATTCACTGTAACTCACGAATTTTAGATGAAACTAGAAACCCTAAATTTTTTCAAAGTTAAATTAAATGACATATATGATCAACCAATGCATTTTTCATAGGGCTTTCACTCATGGCATTCAAATAAACAGAATAGTATCAAGAAATGCTTAAAATGATGCTTGTATGAGAGACTTCGAAATCAAGAAAAATTCACCTATTGGAGCAAGGTCCAATGCCTTCTTCGGGCACTTTTAGTGATAAGAAATTATCTATTTAGCTTTCTTGAAGTCTCAAGAATACAATGCAATACTTAGTTTGCCTTGAAACTAACTCAAACATTCTAACCAAGTCAAGTTGCAATTATGAATCTGTGGGATTTGGGTGGAGTGATTGGGAGGTTTCAGTGATGAACTACTGCATACACAAGTTCATATGTAGTGTATGGATGGTGAATATTTAGTTTGCTTTCACATAACTTGCAAGGATTGATGAATTCAAAGAAATGGCTCTTTGGTACAACAATGGAGTTTTCTATTTTTTCTCAATGTGTTTGTGTGTTTGAGGGAGAATTTCTATGTGTTTTGCAATGAAATGATGACCTCTATTTATAGAGAAAGTTAAGAGAATGAAAGTTGGTCAGTTTTCAAGTTTTGAAGTTATGGTTTGGTTGAAATGCAAGTTTGTAGTTTCACGAAGTTCATAGTTTCAATGCATAGCATGCGTGATTTATGGGACAATAAGGAGGCCTTTAAGTGTTGCTTCTGAGTTTAATGGTGAAGTGTGATCAAAGATAACAAGTTATGGGCTCAATGCGTTGACATTGTGATTAAAGTGAGCTTTTATGAAAATGGATATGTGACTTTTTGTCAAAATTCTCCATGTATGGGATGTAAATTGGATAAAGCCTCAAGTCTTTATGTAATACACTTAGATTTGTGTAAAACATAAATTATGTAGAGATTTAGAAGCAATGTAGACTGAAAAGAAAGATCACATGGATTATTTTAGGTTTGACATGAACTTTGAACCTCAAATTTGACTTGTAAAACAACTTCACCATGATAAATTCTCTTCCTCGAAACTTGGTGCTCAAGTAAAAGAAATTCATACTCTTAGTACCATTGGAAAGATGGTCCCATAATCTAAAAAATTCATGTTGATCACTTGGATTGAATAAATTTGGATCAATTAGTAAACCGGCTAACAAAATTGGTCTTTCAAACTGAAAAAACACTTAGAAAAATTTCTAAGTATTTTCAAATTCTTCAACTTTGCCCTTTTGCAAGTTATCTCAATCTTTGTGATTTATTTTGGTAAAATTAAACTATCAACCATATTTTCATAAAATTTATCTTGATAGGTTCATATTTGATCAAAAAACTCAAAAGTCAAAGTTTGACTCCGAGCAGATGACTTTTTCAGATGAATTCAAGATTTCCAATTTCAATGAGACTTTGTGATCATGATGAAATATTTAATACATTAAGACACATTGAGGATTATGAGATGATGTTATTTAGGATCTCTTAAGTGATTTACATGGGAGCTCAAACTTCAAAACCCTAATTCCTGATTTTCAACTGAGGGTGCAAAAAACCCTAACCTCTCTTCAAGTACTTTATAATCTTGAATGGATACTCACTTGAACTTGATTATAGATGAAGGGAAATCTCTTGATCACTTTTAATGAATGGGGAGATTGAGGTATTGAGGACCACACCAAACCCTAATCTATTAATCACTTGGACTCCTTGATTTAACACATATTTTATACAAGAAACAAACAAAATAAAACATTTATTGCACTCTTCATGGTATGTAATGATGCAAAAAGAGGTGGGATCATAGGTAAAAAATTAGGGTACAATAATGGGAATATTCAAACTTATTAGTATTAAATAAAGAACAGTGCATCAAGAACAATCAAATCTTATTCTACCAAATGTTGTCGATTATATGGATTAATTTTTGTTATAATGTTATATCTAAGATCATGTTTCTATTCAAATCGTTAATCTCGAGATCTTACTAAATAACTTATTTTATAGTCTTTTTAGGTTTTTCTTTCCCTCTAGTTGTTTGACTTCTCTTAATCTCATATACTCTTCTTATTATCACACAAGTTACAGTTTTTCTCTCTACATGCTCAAATCACCTAAATCTATTTTTCACCATTTTCTACAATAAAGGTGTTACCCCAACACTCTCTATAATATTTTAATTTATAATCCTATCATATTTAATCTTACCAAATATTCAATGCAACATCCTTATCTTAGCTATACTTATTTTATTCTCATGTTGATTCTTAATCGCTTAACATGTTATCCCGTACAACATCGTAGATGATATTATCCTTCGATAACATTTTCACTTAAGCTTGAGTGATACCTTTGTCTCACATAAAACCGTTAAAGTCCTCTTCATTTCGGACACCTATCTTAAATTTGATGATTTATTTCCCTTTCTATTTCTTCATCATTTTGTATTACGGATCTAATATATTTAAACCGTGTGACTTAAAAGATGATATGATCTTCAACTTTCACCTTTAGGTTAGAAACACTTTTTCTTTTGTTGAACTTACATTCCATATACTCCGTCTTACTTATTCTCAGTGAAAGCCATGTGTTTCTAAATCTCTCTCCAACTTCTCATTTAAGTCCTCCTTCGACTCTCTAAGTAGAACTATATCATCTACAAAAAGTATGAATCTCGGTGTTAGCTCTTGGATGTGTTATATGAGTACATCTAAAATTAAGGTAAAAAGGTAGGGTTTAGGGTTGTGTAGCTTATAATTTATAATCTAGTGTTGTAGCAAACTCTGTTTAAGTCGAAGAGTTAGTATATATGTCAAAATAAGCTATGTTGTTAGCATGTTGAATTTGGCTAGTCTGTTAGCCTAATTGTTTAGTATGTTAGTTGAAAGATAGGGTTTTAGTTTTCTTATAAATAACATACTAGTCCTCACTTCTCCATAATCCTAATTATAGAAGAAAGTGTTGTGGTGGAGATTCAATTGTAAACATTGTTCCATAATGTGTAATTGAACCAATAATCTAGGTTTTATACCACTTTAAATTGTCTTTCGTTTTTCCTTATCTCTTTTCTCATTTTGTGGTTTTCTTGCTGATAAAAAAACATATCATACTCTATTTTTTGGGTATCATTTTCACAATAGGTTGAACCTTGATGTAAACCTATTGTAATCAGAAAGTTATTTGTCTTTCCATCATGTGGTCGTATACTATTCGATATCTCATCACACATATCTTGGATAACTCAAATATATGCAATCCTAAGATCTTTCTTCTTTAAGATTTTTCACAAAAATCTCTTTAAACACTCTATCATATGTTTTCTCCAAGTCAATAAAAATTAAATTTAAGTATTGTTGGTACATATGATAATACTCCATCATGCCTCATAATAGAAAGATCACATGACAACCAAAAAAAAAAGATGGACATCCCAAAACAAAAGGAGAATAAAACATTAAAACTAACATAAATAAATCAAGCAGCCCAAACAATGTTTTGTCATTTTGGATTACATATTTAAAAAATTTAGCTTTTGAACTTTTGATCCCCCTTTTGAAAAATTCAGCCTTTTAGTCCCCAAACATATATTTTCTGACAATTTTTTAGTCTCCTTCATAATTTGTGTAGGTGGCATATGGGAATGCTGACATGGATAACCGAACATGCTGCCATGTAATTTATTTAAATAAATAACTATTTTAAATTACAAAAAACATTTCTAAAAATTTTTAAATAACTTATATTCATTAAAAAATTAAAAAAGAAAATTACAGATGATTTTGTTATTACTTAACCCAGAAAACGCAAACGTAAACCCTAAATCTCTTTTGCTCTAACTCTCTTAACCCAGAAAACGCAAATGTGAAACTACACTGTCATCCTTCATTCAAGAAGCAACGAAGATAAGCAACATTCCACCCATTCCACCGTCTTCGAAAGGAAAACAAGATGTCATATGTTGTGTGAGGTATGCCATGATTTCATTTAAACTCGATATTTCTCATTATTTTGTTTTCACCATGTTTTAAACAGTACTCTGATGGAAAGTTTGTTATTCAGACCATTTAAAAGTCATTACATTAAGCTAAGAATTCATCATAGGGGAAAGTTAGTAGAGAATCCTGTCAAATGGTACATTAATGGATAAGTGTTTGAAATGGATTGGAATTGGGATATAGACTATATGTCATATATGGATTTGGAAAATCTGATAAAAGATTAGGGATATATGAATATCAAGTGTATGTGGTATTGGAACCCCAAGTATAACTTTAGTAGTGGCTTTAGACCCTTAAACTGTGATAGTGATATTCTTAAGTTTGTTGAGGATGTAAAGGGATTTGACTTAGCGGATGTGTATGTTGAGCACTCAATAGAAGTGATAAATGAGTTTGAAATAGTATGTTATGATGAGGACGATGGTCCAAACTATGCTGATGATGAAGTTGATACTGATGTTAAAATTATAAGTGATCATGATGAGGCTGAAGTTGAAGTTGGAAGTGAACATGTTGAGGCCGATGTTTATGTTAGAATGGGTGAGAACAAGAAATCAGATGATGGTGATGATGATGATGAAGACTATATTAGAAGTGAGAGTTGCTTAAGTAGTTTTAGTGATGATGATTATAAGTTCAATGAGCAGGCTACCGATGGAGAACAAAATGTGGATTTGGATTGGACAACTGTTATACCATGTGATGATGCAAAGAGGTTATGTGGAGTGCAACAAGATCAACAATTGTACCAGTATGAGAAAGGGAAATGGTAAAGATGAATAGCATGAAAGAATCTGCTTGGAAGGAAATGGTAGATATCCCTGCATATTACTGGAGTCGATCTCATTTCAAAACATATTCTAAATGTGATCTTCAGGTGAACAACACGTGCGATGCTTTCAATAGGGAAATTCTAGAATATAAAGATAATCCAATAATCACTTTTGCGAGGCTTTCAATAGAGATAAGCCAATAATCACTTTTTTTATGTAGTTATTTGGTACCTTTTGTTTAAGTTGTTATATGGCACCTTTTGGTTAAGTTGTAATGAAATAGTATTGTCTTTCAACAAGTATTATGAATTGGTTCCTTTTTGTTATGTAATTGGTCTGTTATGAAAAGCAGTTGGTTTGTTATGACAATTGACGATGTTATATATTGGACCTATAATATTGACAATGTGTTGTAATATAAGGGATCTGTAATTGACAATGTTTTATGACAATGCAATTGGCATGTTATATATCTGGTTCCTTTTTGTTATTTAGTTGGTATGTTATGAAAAGTAAATGGACCTATAATATTAATGACCTACAATTTAATATGGCAACTGACAATGACTTGTAATATTTGGGACTTGTAATTGACAATGTTATATATTGGACCTGTAATATTGACAATGAACTATAATATTAGGGACATGTAATTGACAATATTTTATGACAATGCAATTAACTTGTTTTATATTGGACCTGTAATATTAATGACCTATAATTTAACAAAGACTACAATATTGGCACAACGTAGTAACAAATCTAGAACTTTTTCATTGATAAACAAACTGATACAATGGAACTTTTGAACAAATTGATAAACAAACTGATATTCACACAATACATTGAACAAACTAACACTCCACATCATACTTCATTACATCACTAGAAACTACTCCTACTACTAACACAATAATAATGGCAATATGATAAATGTAAAATTGTAATTATTTTGTATATACTTTTTGTTGCATTTATCGACTCTTTGTTGTTAATACCCTTGAATAATTCCCCGCTTTTTTTATAATTATATATAAATTGTATTTTATCGAGTTTTTGTGTATTTGTGTACCATTTGATAGTTTTCCATTCATTTTATAGGTATTGATGCGTATTTGGAGAATAAGCAATAAAGTGTCAAAGACATGGCTTCAAATGCGTGATTTTGAGCAACTCATCAATGAAGAAGGCTCAAAATAAAAGAATAAAAAATAATCAATTTGGTTGATATTTTATGATTGTTAGAAATAGAATTGAATAAGCTTTCCAGTGCTTCAAACCGGGCACAAATAAAAGTTACGGTTCTCAAGTTATGGCTGAAATAATGCAAAATTTTCTGTTGTTTCTTCTGGTGTATTTCGCCTGACGAATCTAGTTTCGCCCGATGAAACTGGCAGGACAGAAACACGTTAAAAGGGGGTAAAAACACATTTTTTAAGGTTATGTTTTGTGTATTTTTTATCCTAACTCATCAAACCTTTAATTTTTGGTAGAGAGAGATGAGAAAACAACTTCGGAGCTTGCATACAAATGATCCGAGGTGGATTGATCATCAATTGACACTGATAAACCGAGAGATTTTTGGTTCATTTCTCTTCTTATTTGTTTATTTATCTTTGGTTGGTGTGGAACCCCAAAATTTTCCCTCTCATTTATCAATTATTTTCTCACAAGATCTCCCTTGGTTCAAGACTGCACAAGGGTTGATCAGCTCAAGACACCTCCTTAAGCACTGATGACTGAAATTAGGGTTTGAGATTGAACAAAGGTATTTGAACTTTTAATTCCTCATTTGACTTTCATGGATCATTATGGACCCTCAATATTTCTCATGTCAAGTTTCAAGTCTTGGATCACATTTTTGCCCAGTCAATTGATCACTTGAACTAAAAATCAGCTGTATTGGAGAAAAAGTCAACTATGGCCAATTTACAGTCAAACTTCATAATTTTTATCCATATCAACATTGTGAACTCCTATATGTAATTTTATCAAGTTTGGACCACAATTCCTCAAGAAATTTGATCAGATCATCAAAAGGGCAAAATGGCCAAAATTAGGGTTTTGATGAGAAAGGGCAATTTCTGATTTTTGACCTAGCAAATGGTTAACTGGTTTGAGACATGATCTCAAGGTTTCAATTGCATCATTTTGACCTAATGGAATGACTCAAAACATTGCTCAAGGTCATTTGATTGATAGTTGATTTTCAGTCAACTGATCAAAAGTCTACTACACACTGAAAAGTCAACCTTTTAATTTTTGGTCAAAATCAAGTGTCAAAGTTTACAAACTTTGACTTGTTCATCAAGAAATTAAAAAGTCAAATTTTCATTTTGAAAAGTCAAAGTTTCCAAACTTAGAAATTTTTCTAAGTGTTGAAAACTTCATTTTTTTTCACAACTTTGAGCCATTTTTCCACCATGATGAAAGATGATTCAAAAGAAACTTTCAACATGAAAGTTGTAGATCTCAATAAGATCTAAAACATTGCTTTACACAACTCCTCCTAAAAATTCTTGGATCTCAAGTTATTAATCCATGAAGTCATGGTCATGAAACTAAAACACTTAGTGAAATTTTAAGCATTTTGGTCAGGATTTTGACCTAACTTCTGAGCCAAGTTTCACATAGTTCCATTTGTACTTTGCAAAAGTGATTCAAATATGGGTTGTAGAGAACATTACAAGATTTCTAAAAAGTCAAAGAACTCCTTGAGTTCATTTGTGAGTAAGGAGAATCTAAGGTCAGAAGTTAGGGTTTTAAGTTGTTTTACAAGGCAGGATTTCATGATAGACAAGAATGCAAATCCATGCTAGGCTGCACAATCTTTGCTTTGCAGGCCTCAAACTTGTTTGGCACTCCATAATTAATGTTTTGCACAGCTGTTAGAGGCTTCAACTCAAGCATTCAATGCATTGCCCATGCTTATTTCCATTTTAGGAAGAAAGTACACATTGCCATTTTGGAAAAGTAGCTTTATGCACAAAATTTGTTCTTGAGCTTTGCACTTGTTCTCTTCTGATCATACACGACCTAAACCCAAAATAAATTTGTCTTAAGCCTCTAACAAGTCAGCCCATGCTTGTACTTTACCTTGAAACCATATTTTCACTTTTCTTCAAAATCACACGCATGCTTTACTTATGTACAAGTCATTTGCATCAAAACACACGCATGCTTAAGCCCTAAAACACACATGAACTCAGAATTGTATCACCAATCACCATTGTTACACATTTTGACCAAAAACTTAAAACTCACATTTCCCTCGTGTGTTTTCAAGCCTTTTGGTTCCTAAAGCTTCTAAACATCAAATATAACTCATCCCTGACCCTGTTTCATAAATGTAACTCCATCTTCATCAACCTCCATAACCAAAAACAGAGCTCTGCAAGTTGACTTCTCCAGAACTCCTCATCCACTTTCAGCTCAAGCCAAGCATCACATTAGCTTCCTGGGAACTTGAGGAAGCTAACCCAATCATTGGAACTCATCAAAAGCTGCTCAAAATCAAAACACGATACCCTCTTGCAAGGTGAGTTTTCTGACTTTTGAACTCTTCATATAGGCATCATTAATGTTTAGTTTGTGAGTGAAAAATTTAGATATCATTGCCCTGAAGCTAACCATGTCCATAGTTTTAATTTATGTTGCTTGAGCTTAGAGAATTTTAAGATTGAAGTTTCTGGAAAAGTTAGGGTTCAGATTAGGGCCAATAAAATTCATGTTTGTCTTTGATTTATAATTTTAATGCTTTACATTTCTGAAATCGTGAGGAAATTTTCCACAAGATTCATGTTTACACTTTTGCAAATGGATGAGAAATGAACAAGATGCAGGTGGTCTGGCTAGGCGCGAGGTTGAAGATGAAGTTGTCTTTAGGAAGCAGTTTTTAATATACATTTATGATTTTATTATATGAACGAATGAAATAGGCCATCACAGTGGTACAAGAAGCGCGCACGTATTAAAAGGTCATGGGTTCGAGCCCCAGCGAGACCTTTTGCAATTTTTCACATTTTTTTCATTTTTTCTCTCTTTTTTTTGCTAAATCAGGCACTTGGGCCTCAACCTCCTGGGCCTAGCATTTTTGCTTATCTCATACTCCCTGTTTCACTTTCATACATCCTGACCCATTTTCTTTCTTTTATATTTTTATTTTCTTTATTATTATTATTATTATTATTATTATTATTATTATTATTATTATTATTATTATTATGAATATTATTAATAGTATTTTTTATGTTATTAATAAGAATCCAAAAAATATTTTATTTATTATCTTTACACTTATTTAGTTTATTTTGTTTTATAAAATCAAAAGAAAAAAAATATTTTCTTTAATAAATTAATTTCCCTTTTTTAAAATACTTAGATAATTAGTCTTAATTATTATATATTATTTTCTTGTAAGTTAAAATCAATTTAAAACTTAGGACTTTTATTTTATTAACTTTATTTAATAATTTAATCAAATTCACAAAAAAACCTAAAAATTTTGTTCTCTTTAAATTAATTTACTTTACTAACTTAATTTTAATTTTTTATTTTTAATTAATTATTCATTTTAGTCAACTAGGTCAAAACCTTTTCATGAAAACCAAACAAAAATCACATTTCTTTTTACATTTACATTCTTGCATTTTTATTTATTCATTTTTGTACAATATTCAATATGGTTGTAATAATTATTTAGATTTAATTTTCTTGCAATTTCCCCATTTGTAAATTTTTACACCCCATCCCCTAATGATGTAATAGCTTAGTATTTTTATTTCCGCAATTTAATGCTTTAGATACAAATGCTAGTAATTAGGGTTTGTATGGAAAGATTAAAACCAACAAATAGCAAACCTAATCAAGACGAATCAAGCATGTAAATCAATACACTTGCACACTTGCACCCTTAGGGTAAATCCACTTTGTTGCCTTACAAAAATGGCCATATTATGCATGTGAGGTGTATTAGCAAAAGAAATAAAAAAATACAAGAT